GAGAAGTAGGATCCCCCCCCACCACCACCTCCCCCATTTTCTATCCCTTGGGCAGGGGATGTGTTGCAAGACAGGTTCTTGGCATGCCTCTACACCATGCTATTATTATTATTACATTCCATTTGTATTACGAAGGCATCTAGAGGCACTGATTAGGGTCCCATTGTGCTAGATTCTGCACAGACAAGGGTTGCAAAGACAGCTCCTGCCCTAAAGAATCTTGTATTCCAAGATACAAGAGATGGGGAAAATCAGTAAATGGATGAGGGGCATTCCAATCTGAGTTCCCATATGTTGGCTGCCATGCAAAAGTGTATTTTTTACTCCCCCTGCAATTGTGCAGTTTCACATCTGTAAGTTGCTGTGGAAAAAAATAAGCTTGTCACCAATTGAGCCTTTGCACATTTTGAGATGCCATTGTTTTTCCAAAAAGCAACAGCAGGTCCTGTGGCATCAGATATCAGGAATGGCAATATACAAAAACCTGTAGGAGAACACTTCAGCCTCCCTGGCCACACAATAGCAGATGTAAAGGTAGCCATCTTACAGCAAAAAAACTTCAGGACCAGACTCCAAAGAGAAACTGCTGAGCTCCAGTTCATTTGCAAATTTAACACCATCAGATCAGGATTAAACAAAGACTGTGAATGGCTATCCAACTACAGAAGCAGTTTCTCCTCCTTTGGTGTTCACACCTCAACTGCTAGCAGACCACCTCACCCTCCCTGATTGAACTAACCTCATTATCTCCATACTGATTTATACTTGCCTCTGGAAATTTCCATTACTTGCATCTGAAGAAGTGAGGTTCTTACCCACAAAAGCTTATGCTCCCAATACATCTGTTAGTCTTAAAGGTGCCACAGGACCTTCTGTTGCTTTTTACAGATTCAGACTAACACGGCTACTGCTCTGATTGTTTTTCCAGTCTTTCCTGACGGAGGCCATTGCTGAGCAAGACATTCTTGTCATCTTTTGATTTCTTTGGAACAGCCTCCTTGATTGGATATGTATGATCCCAAATAATTGAATTCATCTACTGCCTCTACAGCTTGACTGTTAATCATGATGTCTGCTTGCATCCTATTAATCATGTCAGTGTGCATGCATTTCATTTTCACCTCATTCAGGTATAGACCATATTCCTTACTACATGTTTTTACAAACTCCAACATTTGTATTGGTGGTTGTAGCAAAGAGCATCATGTCATCTGAGTATGTGAGGTCTTTCCACTCTGTCAAAAGCTTCCAGGTCTTCTCATATAATAAATTCTGAGTATGTGCTGAAAAGGCTTGGAGACAGAATACACCCATGTCACACGTCCTGCTCACTGGTAAACCACTTGCTGTTGCCTGCTCATTGATATCAGTACTGAGGTCACTAATTTCTTTTAACAATTCTATTGGTATGTTATCTACCGCTGGTGCTTTCCCAGGCTTCATTTTCATAACAGTACACACCAGTTCCACTCACAGGATTGATGACTCTGGCTCTATGTGCTCCTTTCTGTCGTCCTGTATTGTAAGTGGCTCTGATGAGGCATACAGATTGGCACAGTAATCTGTCCAAGCGTGGTTAATATCATCACTTTCAGTGCCATCAGGATCTTGTATTATGCTTGATTACAGGGGAAACTTTCTGATAAGAAGTCTGACCATTATGAACATACTTACCTTTTGTAGTACTCTTTTTGTGACTCTCAAGTTCCTCATACTTTGCCCTGATGTATTCACTCTTGTCTAGTCTAGTCTGCTTTCAGATCTGCCTGCTCAGTTCTTTGTACTCTCTCCTAGGTGCTTCAGTCTTCAAGTCACTCTGTGTCATTCTGCATCATTTTTTGCTAGTCCAAACACTTTTTCTGTTAACCATAATGTGGTCCAATGCTGACATTTTGGAACATGTGATTTGGCAGATTTGAGCATGACAGTTGTCATTTCATTCCAAAGTTCATTCGGATTGTTCTCTTCTTTCACCTGTGATAATGCCTCAAACCCATCCCGTGTTAGCCTCAAACTTAAAATTAAAACTTAAAAAGATAAGATGTTTGGCAGGTACACTGCATGTGGTCTTGTCCAGAATCAGCAAAGTAAGTGGCAGATTGACTTTAAATTGGCACTCCTGGTTTTCCAAGTCCTACAAGCTCCTGGCACTGGCTTCATTTGAATCCTGCTCCTTGAACTTCACATTGACTGTCCTTACAAATTACCACCGTCTTGGGAGCTCACCATTGCCTCTCAAGCTGTCAGGCAATAGTATATTCGCTTTGTTACAATGTGGAACTCCATCCCCATCACAGAAACCTTCTCATATCATCCCTCAGCACTTTCAAAAAGCACCATAAACCTTTAGGGTTTTTTTCCGCCCTATAATTGCATTTTTGCAAACAACTTCTAAATTCGACCGCATCATTTTGGTTTTATGTGGTTGCATTTTAGAGGGGTGATATTTTATTATGCTGTATTTGTTTTTATTCTGTTCTACAAGTAGCTTCCATCCTAAGAAAGCTATAGAATAAATTACATTTATCCTTCAGGAATGTTCTCTCTCTCTCTCTCTCTCTAAGGCTAGATTTCCATTACATTTCAGGAGATATCTTTAAATACCTGAGCTACACAGCACATCTGTCTCAAATTAAAAATGTTTTTTTTTATCTTGATGACTGCAACATTTGTTAATAGCGATGAAATTTTCCATGTGCTTTTGGTCTTGTGTAGGATACTGATTAAAATACAGAGAAGTTTAGAACAATAACAACTATAGCAGATGAACAATTATTAAAGTAGATGGGATTCAAAGACATTTTAATTTGTCATTATTTTGCTTCTTCCAGAGATAATCTGAATAATTACACTGCCTATAAAAAGCAAATGTGTAATATTTCCCCTCAATATTAAATTCTCTCCATTCCCTTTTAATATAAGTGAAAATAAAGATGTCTCTGATACCCTCTGATGCTTTGATCAAAATATGAAAACCACTGAATGGCTTGTGCAATTTGTGTTTTTGTTTGTTTTCTTGGTGTATGGAGAAATTACTTCGATTTTAAAAGTAAACATTAGCCCATCTCACAAATTATAAATATTAGATCATATTATTTTACTGCCTGGAAATGTTCTCAGTTGTCAAAAGTATATTGCCTAGTGTGCAAAAACTCTAGTTTTATACTGAGGACTTAAAGGAAGGTGACTGTGTTTAACCTGATGGTGCAGTGAAATACGTATGTAAAAAGAAGGGTGGTGCTGCCATGAAGACACTGGTCTGGGATGTGGGTTCAGCTCCAGACTCTGAAACAGACTTTCTCCATGACTATGAGCAAAGATCCTAATTGCTCTATGCCTGAATTCCCCATCCGTAATATAAGGAGGCTAATATTTCTTTACTTCCTGGAAGTGTTTGTAAGGATAAAGCTGCTTGTGCGGTGCTCAGATACTACAGGAATGGTTTGATTGATAGGTTCAGAGATATTAAGGCCAAAAGAAACCATTGTGATCATCTACTCTGACTTGCTGCAGAGCACGGGTCATAGGACTTCTCTGAATTAATTTCTGCTACAAGTCAATAGCTGTGGATGAATTAGAGCATCTCTCTTAGAAAAACATCCAATCTTGATGTAAAAGTGTCCTGTGATGAAGAATCCACCACAAACCTTTGGTAAGTTGTTTTAATGGTTAATCACCCTCACTGTTAAAAATGTGTGCCTTATTTCTACTCCAAATTTATCTAGCTTCAACTTCTAGCCGCTGAATCTTGTTATACCTTTGTCTCCTAGGAACAATTACAAGATGGTATATAATTGAATAAGCAGTCAGGAACGTAGGATGTACTCAAGGTTACATGGGTTAATGATGGAAACAGGTGCACAGAGAGACTCTTATACAGCAGCAGCAAACAAGCAAAAACAAAAACTAGGAGAAACAAGAAAGAAACTTATCTCTGCTTCCTTTTTGTATTACAGCCTGAAGAATCAATAGTGATTCATCAATCAAAAGAAGGAAAAAACATCAAGATTTTTTCTGTAAAGAAGAGTCTATTAACCAATAGAAAGGATGCTTTCTTGGACAATGAGCATTTCCTATGTGGATTCATTAATTAACGTATAACTAAATCTTCACTTTGGACAAATACATGGATTTTCTTTTTAATTTTGTGGTGAGTTAAAATATTTGGATGGATTTTTTTTTTTACCTTTTCAAGATAATATAGTCAGCACACAGTCTAAAGTATGATAAATATCCTTTAAGAAACAGCATCTAAACATCACTCATCCTCAAAGACAGTGGAAATAAAATATTTTATTTTTTTCATATTTATTCTTAGATTTCTTCTGAGAATATAAAATTGCTCTATTAAATTATCCATGATTGTGATGTAATCAGTCTTCAACCAGAAATAAACATGATTTCTTCACCTTCTTCGGCATGATTTGTGTCAACATATAAAGAAAAAAAATGAATCACGGGGTATGTATAATGGATGAATCTTTTCCCTTCCTCTTTGTCTTCAGAAAAAATACATATGGTTCACTGAACACTGAAAGCTAAAATTAAAGAATAAAATCCTTTTCCTGCCATTCAAGTTTGATTCCTAGAAGCTAGATGGATGCTACCCCCACTATCGACTTTGCTGAATGCTAACCTATAAAAGACATTAGTCTATCCACATGATGTTCCTAGGAAGCAAATTGCCTGTTTGGAATGTTTCAAGGCAGTGGAAGGAACAACAACACCTATGCCATTCTAGTGGCACAATGTGATTAGGTGAATTGATGTTTCCTCTATAAAATAGATATTTTGCCCAGTGCACCAGGTGTTTCTATAGAAAGTAAATGACAACAGAGGGAAAATTGTGAAAATAAAGGGGAACCCAGCTCAGAGGTGAGGTTCACAATGTGAAAGCTGGATTCCCTTATGCTCCCCTGACACCTACTTAATCCCACTTACTGAAGTATAAAGGACTCTGTTAATGTGGCCCATGTACTGAGGAGTGGGAAGCAGGTGCAAGAAGGTGAGGGGTGGGAAGGACAGACAGGTGTAAATTAGGCCAACTAAGACTCCCTCCGGACTCCGTTAGACTTGCTGAATTTGACCCCAGTGCCTGACGTGTCTTTGAGACGGTTACGTATTCACGTTGCACTGGGGAACTTGACACCACGGCACAAGTCCCGGCCCCTTCCCCATGCATGGAGAGGCCTAGTGCCGAATGGGAGTGAGGGCAGGGGCATCGGGATCACTCCCATGCAGCTCATCCAGCGCCTGTCTGTGCAGCCCACCGCGGTGAGAGGGGGGCATGCTGCTATTCAGGCCCGGATTCAGCCGCACTGAGCATGTGCTTGTGCCCCATGGAAGGTACACTCTTGCAGTTAAGCACATGCTGGGCCGAGCAGAGAGAGACTTAAGCACAAACTTCTTTCTAGCAATGGCTCTTAGGCAAAGGATTTGAGCCTAAGTAATTATCCTATATCACATAATCCACTGTTCATAGCAATGATTGAAAGCAAATGAGTTCAACAGGATAATACCTGTCAAGGAGTTCTGGAGCATCTATTTTTAAACCCTTCAAGGCTGGTCCTTTGGTGTTCTGGGGTGGTATCCCTTCAAACTGTGTGCAATATTCATTCACTAATTTCTGCCTACAACCTGCCACTGCCATGGGTCCCATTGGCAGAGTGGGCATGCTGAACTGGTGTCACTTACAGGGAGCAAACAGGGTTTGGAGGGAGGAGGGTTCAGCTCAGGAAAAGATCTGAATTTCCAAGATAAAAGCCATTTATCCGGGTGCCCCTTTGTAGACATTGATTATTTATCCACAGGGAAAGCGTTTATTGTTCACTGACTTGGTGGTAGATTGATAACAAAAGTAACTGGAGCCACTGACAATCCATATCCTGCAGTATTTTTAATTTTTCTGCGGCAAAGTCATGCAGCCAGCAGAGGGAGCCCAAGTTAATTACCTAACCCATTTTTAGGAACTGAACTAAACGTTATCAAGTTCCAAGAGGGTGGTAGAGACAATGCAGAACAAATGTGGATTGTATGAGCTATAAAACACATCTGCATTTAAAAGGTTCTGAGGACTTTGGGATCCTATGAATTCCAATGTAAAGATAAACCTTCTCTGGAGAGGAATTTTCCTGATTGTTTTATGCATGTGCAATAGTGTGATTCTCCTTGGGCTGCTTCTGTCCTTGCTTTCTGCTGCCTCCTGAATAATAGGCTTTGACATTTCCTTTCTGTGCACACTCAACTAAAGGCTGCTTCACACCTTCGAAGGGAACAGTGATTCATCAGTTCCTTTACCAGGAGAAGTCACAGCAAAGTGCAAATGGACACTGCAAGGACACTGGCCTGCAGCTACTGGAAATTAGCCTGACACAGGATCAGGGATACTTTTAATTGAATCCACGGCCCACCACAATGCCCTGCAGATTTGTGTGTATGATAGAGAGGCAATTAAATCACGTACAGGTCATTAATCTCTGTCCACCTGGCTACAACTTAATAAAACAAACAAATAAGGTATTGCTCCTGGCACTTAGGTGCTAGGCAGCATGGTGTTCTTGTCAAGCATTTTACATTTAAATTTGGGTAATTACCTGGAAAACTGCAGTTCAAAGGCTAACTTCATTACATTTTTTATTAATAGCACTGAAATGCTAGTGTTAATTTTATTTATTTGTTATGTGATAGTGAATTTATCAACAACAAAAACCAGTAATGGATGCATTAGGTGCTGCTCACTACCTCTGATTTATACCTCTCTCAAGGGGAAGGGAGTAGTACACGATGGTTTTTACAGTGGCTGAGGCGTTGGATAATGGATATGTGAGATCGAGTCAGTTTCATTGTAAACCATGTACTAAACCTTATTCTTGACAAATGTAAGACTCAGGCTTAACCATTGGTTATTATTAAATCATGAGGCGATAATAAGTAGTAAATCTACTAGATGCTACTGTCCGGCTTTGCTGAAATGAATGTCTTCTTGTCTTACAAGGTCAAGCAGGTGCTTATACCTCCAGGATTCCATCTCTAGAGGCAATCCTATTCCCAAATCTAGAGCACAATGGTCCCTTCTTGGCCTTGGAATCTATTAATCTAGTTCGTGGGCTGAAGCAAGGCATGCATTTCAGGGGAATTGTCTGTTGTCAAGGGAGCTCTGTGAGGGTCCTATGGCTCCAGCTGAGCTACAAAGGGAAAGAAATAGGTCTTAATCTACTTCTAACATAGACTTTTTGTGATTAGGAAGGTGGTTTAGCTTCTGCTTTCTCTTTGGAGTCTTAGATCTAACCACAGCCAAGCACAGGGCACGTAGTGATTTCTGTTGCAGCTTCTCCTTCATGCTCTTCAAAAAAAGTGATTATACGGGGAAGGAGCTCTTTAGCTTTATCTCTTGCCAGTAATATTTTATTGTATCTCTGGCTTTTGGATTCTCTCACCCAGAATTGCAAACACCCCACCATATTGCCACCTGCTTTGCCCTTATGATCAAAACAAGCTAATGTGAACCAGTGGAAATTTTTTCTTTCTCTTGCAAAAAAAATTAAAAGTCAAAACTCACCGGTTTCATTTTTACATGAGCATTTTTTTTCAATACTGTGGGAGAGAAGTGAGGTGATTATCTCCTAAATTAGGATTAAGATCAATAATAGATGCTGCTCTGTGGAATCCTGCAGAGTTTCTCCTGCCAGCAGTGAAGACTAAATAGACCCCTTCCAGGCAAAGAAGTCAGGTTGCTATCTGAATTATAAAATTCTTTGGCATAACTCAAATGAAATCTGGTGGCAAAATGCTCTACTTAATGGAAAAGCTCCAATATTTTTGGGGGGGATTTACCACTATTTTTACTTAGCATTTAAACAGATTTATTAAGGTTCCCTCAATTAATAGTTGGAGTAACTGGCTTGACAAATAGAAAAAAAGAGTCAGTAGTGGCTACATTCATGTCTCAGTAAATAAAAATAGAAATTGAAAGGTCAGGGGGACCATCCCCTTCAAATCACAGACATTTTAGCTGAGATATTCAAAGTTGACTAGGGGATTTAGACACAATTTACGTTAAAATTTAGTGAGTTGTCTCTAAATTCCTTTGTCCACTTTGAAAATCTCACCCTTTACAAATGTATTTAGTTTTGTTAAAAGCTAATAAAGGAGAGCGAGAGAGATACATGACCTTGCTTGTTTATAATTAGCACAAATGCTTTTAAAAAGTCCTCTCTTCTCCTGGAGTGAGGTGAGCAAAATCAAAGCCTGACTGCAAGAGAGCACAATAGCTTTGCTCAAATAACTCTTGATTGCAGCTGGGCACAAACATTTCCATCATCACACCGCTCATACACAGCTGTCATTACCTATGCAGAGGGGGTATTCAGTACTTTGCCTGAAATGCATGCACTGTTCGATAGCTGCAGAATGTATACTGCCTATGAAATGGACAGACGAAATAAGTTACAAGTACTTCTTAATTACAGTCTTTCTGGAACTGATTTTTCTTTCATCACTTTGTTTATATTAGATGGGGAAATGTCTGGTGGAGGAAAATACGATTTAACAGCAAGTAGACCTTAGATGAATCTCTCTCCTGGGTGTTCAGGTAGGAGTAATAATTGGGAAAGCCTCAGTGTACTAATGCAGGGCTCCACCTGGTGTGAAAACCTCAACATCTAAGTCACAAACGAGCCTCATTCCCTCATATCATAGAAGGAAGGAGGTGCTAGCACAGTGTGTTGTCATGAAGAAGTCAGTCTCTTCAGTGCTTTGACCTCTTCACTAACTGATGCTGCTTTCGCTTTACATGTTTTAAATAGGATTTCCTAGGCAACTGTAGGGATGGGCTAGGTATGTACATGTCGGTAAAAGTTAAATGGTATGTGACGCACAGGTTGTTGTTAGTTCAGTAGCAATAGTACTTAGACTCCAATGGAAGTTGGGACTACCCTGTGCTAGGCACTGTATGCCCATGCAGAGACAGTCCTTGCCCCACAGTGTTTATCACCACGACAGCCAAAGGAAGTTGCAGCCTTTCCCACGTATACATGCCTGAATTGCACATGGGGATGCAAATTTACATGTGCCTCTCAATATGGAGTAGTCTGACCAATGGGCCAAAACCCATCACTTGCCGCAGCCAGTGCCTCCAACCGGTGTCTAATTCCCTCTTCCTGAGCAAGGTAATCTAAAAACTAGCCGAGAACCATCCTCACCTTAGCTGTTTTGAAGGGCCCTTCCTGTTGTTTTGCATGCTGGCTATGGTACAGGGATGTTATTGCCTGTGCCAGTGGGCAGTCTCCTCTCCATCCCTCAGAGATGCCCCACAGACCCATCAGGGCCCAGAGAGTGGCCCTGACCTAGCCCAGGCCAGTTTCTGGAAGCTGTGGAACTCCACATTCCAGATCACTGCGTGTGGCAGGGCAGAT